TATCTCGGAATCTAAAAGAGATAGAAAAATCTTTGTCATAAAAAACGTCACGAGAAAAATTTTGCTATCTCTCTTAGATTTCGAGATATCAATCAAAAACTGGCCAAAAGTCAAAATCGACTCAACGCGGTTTACCGCTTGGCTACTGATTATACCCCTAATCCTCACAAGATATTTCAGAATCTAATAGAAATACTGAAACTTCCGTGGGGACCTTTTTTGTAGCTCTAATTCTCTCTTACAAACACCTCTTCAAGAATAATGTTCCATTTCCCTCAAACTCTGAGATTTCTCGCAATAATTGATTGTGAGTTGTAATCGACTTGGCCATTTCACCTCTAAATTGACTGATGCAGTTTCACCATTTCACTCCTGAATAATCATCCTAATCATTCAAATCGTCAACAATAAACTCGGTACAGAAATTTTCACAATTTCCCCCAGCTCCTTGAATTATTATTAATGATCCCTCATTAACAAGTGCTGTATTGTACCTGCAGAGTGCCGCACGACTATCTGCAGTCCTATTATCGAATGATTTCGGAAGTAATCTCCATCGCGCAGTCGCGCTCCTTATCGATCCTCACCCAGCAACGTCACACAGGTTTTTACTTTCTCACATCACATACTTTTCTGGGTAACTTTAATGCTGGATATAATGATAATATAGAATCTACGGGAACAGATAAATGACGGAAAAAAGGTATTTTCTGGGGATACGAATACGTACAGACACAGAGAGACTTTTCCACAACATTTAATAAAACGCTATCAACTATGTATGCCTTTTTTTACTCAAATACTCTAAAAGTTACTTACATACGTGATAGTTCATATTTATATTTCTTTTATATATAATATTTATATATTTATAATTGTAAGGAGGTGTCACGTCCCTCGCAAATGTCATTACTCTTCGCCAAAGTATTTAATTTCATTCGGGGAACCCACTCGATCCTTTCGCAATATTTTTTTGTCATTTTTCATTCATTAAACATTAGTATTTTTACTATTTTACAAATTTCTGCAGACTCACCGCCATCCGCAACGATTTAATTGACGCAACAAAATCAACCATGAATTACGATATTTCGATAAACAAATATCATATACAATATTCATATATTTATATATAATTTTGTATACTCTGTAGCAAAGTGGGGACAGATCGAAAAATTTTGTACAAATTGTTTTATAATTATCTCGGAAACTAGTGGATTTAGAGAAGAACTTCTGATCATTTGTCATGAATCTACTAGTTGCAGAGATATTTCCAAAATAAAGTGAAGATTTCTTTTCGGCTCATGGACCTCCACCACTTCACTACCGATTTCTTTCTCACAGTGTATTTTAGTCGGGATTTGCTCGGGAGCTGACACGTCCGGGTAAATATGTATAAATTTAATACTATCGTCGTACAATTATTTATTTCTTCCTTACGCAGTTACAATTCAATCATGTTTTTAAAATGAAAAACACGAATTCTGAACATATTGCCCCAACAAGAACTTAGAAAGTTGTTCAATGCTCCTTTAAAATCCATCATTCATTCCATTAACTTCAATGATTGAGAATTACAAAGCGGTCTCCATTTTCATTAAAATTGCTCCATAAATTTTCGAAACTTTGAATCTGCAGTGGAGTGGGAAAGCTCAGGCGATTGCACTGCCAATAACGCTAAAACTAATGGGTACAGAGGAACACGTCAGAAGCCCTTTCGTGGAGACGACAAAACTCTCCCCAAAAAACACCTTCTAAACCTCTTCCTCTCGAAGATATTCCCACTTCACTGCTAAATTCCATCGAAACCCAATATGAATGAATAATAAATAATAAGATAGTGTGTGATCTCGATCAGCCGGGCACCGTGATATAACTACTTATCTCTTTTGTGTATGTTTCTAGTGTTCTCTGTGCTCAACGAATTTCTTTAATTTAATCAACAGTATAACGTCAATAAAAACCACAAATTCAGCTCAACAAATCCTGAATAAATTTTAATTCTTATTTTTTCTTCATTTTGTTTCTTAATGCACGTTATCACAGTTGCAACGAGGGTGGTCAATACGCTGATACTACCCTCGAGCAACGAAGAGAAAGGACGACCCTTTTTTATTCATAAAAAATTCTATCAAGCAGCAGTAAAATGATAAAACGGTTCGATTCGATGTCTCACACCAATTGTTGATTCGTAAGTTATCTCGATCATGAGCACTCCTAGGATGAAATGTGAGAAGGTCTTTTCAGTACAGTACAGTATTTTCTGATCTGAAATGAAAGTCGTTCCACTCTCTCTCTTTCTCTCTCTTGTTAAATTGCCCATTCCCGAGATAAGCACCTAATTAAGAGACAAGTACAGTCGTCTCATCTCGTTCTACCAATTTGTTGCCAAATAAATCAGAATGAACTGAATAATTGATCTAAGGGTCAGCCCCAAAATCCACGTGACCTGCGAGTCTGTTTTAACCACGATTTGTTCTCATTTTCTTTTAAGTATTAAAGTTGCGTAATAATAAACTGCAATCTAAGCTGATCCCATTTGTTGTTTCTTGGTCACAACCTCGTTGAAATATCGTTTCTCATCGTTAAAATTGTTATTGTCCCTCCCACAGAAATCAATAGGCAATTAATTAAAGTAAGAAAGTAATAGGTAGAAACGATCTACTTAATTAATTTTCAGCAGGCAAGTGGTAAAACCGTTAATTACGTAATTATCTCGGTAATTATTGGTTTCAGGAGAGACTGCCAGGAGTGTTTTTACATTGGATATTTTATCTACGAAAAAAGTTTATCGAATTTTTCCCTAAATCAATATTTACCGAGGCATTTTCATAATCAACACAACTGACACATTTGAATTGATCCCTTTTACCACTTGACTACTACTTTGAACGTCACGACCCGGGCAGAATCCCGAGTAATCGTATTTTCGTTAAATACAATTGTACAAGCCCTATAGTACCCCATTAACAAATTAAATAACCACCATTAATCAATCGATGGATGAATTAAGGAATGAAGTGGTCATTGGAGATATTTTTAAAGCTTTCACATACGTATCATTCCATGTTTACTCATACACTTCTGAATGTTGAAATGTGAATGACGACAGTAGGGAACTTGCATGAATTTTTTTCAATTTTCTAATCTCAAGTTTGGGGCCTGAATAATTTATTTTTCGCTTAGAAATGTTTGAAATATTGCTCATTAACGCTAATCCGGTCAGCAAGCGCGACCCTGCGACTCTGGTCACCTGCGCGGGGATTCCCCGCCGTGTTATTTAGGCTTTAGCGTTGCCGAATTCACTCTACATTGCCTGGGCGCGTTTAGCGAGTTTCCGGCAACATCGCACATCGGGCAATTTCATTTAACATGGGAAAAAATAATTCATCTGTTCGCAGTAATTTGTTTTCTTTACGAATTTCGGGAAATATGTAGTTTTAAAAACTACTATAATTCTTCAGATACTTCGATTGACAAAGTCAAATTTTTTTGAATTTTTCCGGTTAGCCAGTCAATTGTAATTAAAGAAAACTGACGCGAGGCGGGGATTCCCTCATATGGTGATCAATCTAGGGTTAATTCAGTAGCGAAGTGGTCAAATGGTTTAAGGTGTTTCGTGTGTTGATCCCCGGGGGGTGAAACGGAAAGGGAATCTTATTGTTCTCGAGCGCTGATTCAATCGCTGAGCGCGAAATTTTCCAATTTTCAAGTAACTATTCAAGTGTGCATTTGAACATTTTTTGAATATTGATTTTATTTATCAGATTGATTGATTTTTTTCTCATCACCTGCGGGTGTCAAATAATTTTTATTGGAGGTTATTCTAATTATTGAAATAGTAGTAAAATGCGTCTCGAGTTGGTAAACTTGTCGAGTGTTTTCTCTCTCAGTTCCATGATCCAACCCATACCTTTCCCATGATGCTCACTGACATTCGAATCACGCGCCTGCGCTTGAGGGCGTAATTGCTCTGAAACTCATAATTTTCCGAATCATTTGTTCAAATAACTTTCTTATGAAATCTGAAAAAAATCTGAAACTTATACGTGTTCTGAAGAAAGATTTGATTTATCACCCACTAGTTTTTCTTTAATAGTTCATTATTTTTTTGGGTGTCATGGAAATTTCCCTAATTGAGCGTGGGGTAACCTCGGAGGTTATAATTGGAGAGGTTACAAAAACATCCAAATTGCATCTTTTTTTTTTTGAAACTGAGATCTGAAGCAAATGTGCAAGAATTCTCAATGATGGAGGATACTTAGACTTTTCTCCCATGAATTTTCCAATTTTTTTTTATTTTGACTTTCCAACTGAAACACCTCAAGTCAATTCAGTCTTTAGTTGAGTTTCCCAGAAATATTTTCGAATTCAAGGGAGATAGCGAAATTTACATAATAACCTTTTTTGTAGGGCGAATTGAGTGCTACTAAAAAGGTTATGAGAAAAATTTTGCTGTCCCTTAGATTTCGAGATATTCATTGAGAACTGGCCAATAGCCTAAATCGACTTAAACCGTTTGACTACTTCGCTACTGAATTCATAATTAATTGTTAAAACTTGAAGATTTCAAAGGCTTTGAAATCGCTAATGACATCGTATAGACGGTTGAACGCTGGACCAATCACAGAATGGCTCGGGCCGACCTAACCCAATCTTAAGGTGCGCCTCGGCCAATGGAGGACGGCAACTCCCCACTCTCTTCTTTTTCGACCAATGAAGCGTTACCTGAGCGTCTTCGTGACGTCATGACTGAAAAATTGCCCTCAAAAACGACTGATTTTCAATTAATTATCATAAGACATCTGGCAATATTTCAGTGTCGAAGCGATAAAACGGTTTAAGTCGACTTAGTCCTCATCTGGGTTTTTGATAAATATCTCCGAATCGAAGGGAGATAACGAAATTTTTGTAATGACCTTTTTTGTAGAGCGAATTGAGTGTTATAGAAAAGGTCATGTCAAAAATTTTGCCATCTCCCTTAGATTCTGAGATATTTATTGAAAACTGGAAAATAGTCAAAATCGACTTCAACCGTTTTACCGCTTCGCTACTAATTTCTCTACAATTTTTGCTGTTTAGCTATCCATATGTTACGGGGAATGTGTAAATAAGGAAATTAGAAAGAATTGAGCTTCATGCAAGCTCCCTATCTGTGTTAACACAGAATATCTCATATTCTGCTCCGAATATCTTCGAAACGACAGAAAATCATCAAAATTCATCGACTCGTCTTTTGCAGAAAATTGACTTTTCCCTGAACCACTTGACTCAAAAATCAACCAGATTGATTAACCAATGAATTAAAAAAATGCAGAGCTTTCCTCAGGTACCCAAAATATTCTGCCGACAAATTAAAATCGATGAGACCCTCCATGTCATGTGCCATCCATTCAAGCAGACACAGTTTCAACCATGCTCTTCTTGATGATTTCCCCAAAGTTCTCATCACAATCATCACCTCCCTCCTCGCCCTCCTGCACCACAACCTTCTCCTCAATTTTGGTTGTATGATAACTGCTGATTGGCTGTGGCTCAACATCCCCGTAATATGAGTAACGACCAGCTAATAATTCAGAGAATGGCTCGAGTTTGCCCATTTGCTGTACAACACTGCTCATGGGTTGTACTGAATTGAGATTAGTGTACTGCTGGACCCCATTATCATCGGTGAATGACGTTTCGTAGATGGTTTGCTGTTGGTGCGGCTGCTGCTGTTGTTGTTGGTGTTGATGCTGCTGGTGCTGGTGACAGGATTGTTGCATCGTGGGGTCTTGGTAAGGAGAGTAGTGGGAAAAGTTTTGATTTGAAGGTACTGATTGAAATTGCGGGGAGAATTGAGTTCTCGAGGTCGAGGGAAGATTTTCATACGATTGATAGTCTGGATAGGTTTGCGGGGGGAAGGGTTGAGTTGGAAAGGGCTGGAAAGCTTGACTGAACTCGGGATGCAGCTTGCGGGGTGAATTGTGCGGATTGTCGACGGTTTCTTCGGAGGGATAGCAGTCGTCGCGAATTGCGTAGAGGTCGAGGCTGTCCTCCCGAACTGGATGGAGAGGCTGGCAGACAGTGGGATCGTGGGGATCGTAGTGGAGGGTTGTGAAGCCGTTGGTTAAGCAAGTGTCGGGGGGTTGGGGATCGTGGATTTGGGCTGGGTGGTGGTCGCGGAGGGGACCTCGGGGGAGGGAAGGCTCGTGTTCGGTTGAGTCCTCGTCGCGTGATTTTTTCTCGAGCTCTAGGCGCATTAGGGTGTGGATGAAGTGCGTGCGGACTCGAACTGGATTGAACTCTATCCGCCCTGAGGAGTTCGCACAGCCGTCGCGGGAACAGCCGCACGGGAAACCTGCACGGTCCACCTTTAATTATTGAGAGATTCGTTAGTTCAAGGGGGGTGCGGTGAATATCGAGGTTTCAACGATCTTGAATGAGGTGGGGTGACTCGATTCAAGGATATCCAAGTACTTGCGTCAAGTTAGCAACTTTTTTTCAAGCAAGATTTCAGTTCTGGCAAAAATCTTGCCATCCTCATACTTTTTCGGATTTTTCATTGCTGACTACAAAGATTCCATTCGGAAGATTTGGATTTTTTGTTATATCGACCCAGTATGATCCAAAAAGTCCGAAAATGTTTAAAAAGTCAATATTAATTCATCATGATCATGATCATGAAGGAGGGGGATCGAAGTTTAAATGTCGAAATATCCGAGCATTCCGAAAATTTGTCGAAAAAAGTCGGGAAAGTTGCAACAATTCAACTCAATTAAAAAGTCAATATTTTTGTGTGCACGTGTGTACGTATGCAACAAAGTTTTTCTTCCATTGTTCACTAATGAATGGATGGAATTGAATCATTTTTTCAAAACAGGTATTGTTGAGCCCTATCAATTGCCACTAATTAAAATTTAATTCATCCATTAGTTTTTTTAATTTTCGAATTTTTTCTAAAATCGGTTGTCCCACGATAACAGAAAAAAATGTTCTGAATTGATTGAATGATGGCTTAAAAAAATTGTTTGGATATCCTTTTAAGCGAGTTCGAAGATGAACGTGATAGCAGTAATCGTTATTTTGATTCAATTGAAAATTTTCAAAAATTTTGTATTTTTTGAAAATCAGAATTTCGGGGATATCTTTCAATATCACGCTTCAAATGAATTCAATCACCGCTTAAAATGTTAATGCCATTGAGTCGAATTTGAACGATGATTACGATAGCTATACTGGTTCATTTAATTTTTATGATGATTGTTGAACATTTTGAATTTTTCATGAATTTGCCTGAAAATGAGCTTCCTGATAGTTCCCTCAAATGTGATGTTCCAAATTCATTCAAATATGTATAAATAACATTTTCCCATCAACATTTTATCGAAGGGCTGAGGGGAGAGATAGAATCGTAAAAAAGACAATCGGTTGTATAGAAGAAAGGGATAATAAGAATAATGATGATGATAACAATCAACTAAGTTGAAAATTTGACAAAATTAGTTAAAAAGAAATCTTATTCAATTTAAGAAAATGAAATAACCATTCGGAAGCATAATCGCTAATTTATTAGCAAAAATAACTATAATATTCCCATTTGTTCCCATTTTTTTTGCTAATACATTTTTATTCAGAAATTACGAGAAGTCAAAAATCCATTGAAACGGGATTTCGGGGAAGATTACGATTTATTTGGCTATGATTACGATTAATTTGACAGTTGTCATGTCATTTTGTCGCCGTCCCAACTCACATTCTAAATTATCGTCCGTCATTAAAAAAATTCTCTTTTCCACGAATTTCTACACTTCCTAACGCCCTCAATCCCCTCCAATGTTTTCAATCTCAAAAAACTTACTCAACAGACCTCATTTCACAAGATGAACAGAATTCATCCCTCATTATCCCCTTTCCTCCCTCCATTTTTCCTATTCACGTGCATACGGATGTACAATCCGAGCAAATTGAAGAATGATGTCCATGGTAATGCTTAAAAAAGAAAAGATAACCAAGATAACTCACTTGGCACTTAACATTAGCCCTGGAACAAGGACAACTCTCAGGATCGCAATAGCCCTTGCAGCCACATCCGCAATGTTCCCTACTAGCACGTATGTCTCTGCACTCGTCCTTCTCGAGTGCATCTATCCTTCTGACCCCGGCGGCGCGCAGTAGAGCGCGTCTCTGCCACGTAGGTACGGGCTGCAGAAAATAGTAGCTGTCAATATCGAGCTCCTCGCCGTCGCTGGGCTCGTCATCTGTGTCGTCGCTCGGATCCTCGGAGCTCGAGGCAGCCTCTACCACACAATTCGCCGCTCTCTCCGAGCGTAGCTGCGCCAAACGAGCACGATGGAGTCGTCGTTGTTCAGCTGCATGCTCAGACAGCGAAAATCTCTCTGCGTGGGTGTGCGTTGCACTCATGCCCAGTGTACTCCCACCCTACGTAATTCGATTAATTAGAATCAATACGGTTATGATCCTACATACATTGGAATTTTTTAAACATTTTTTTTTGTCAAATATGGAAGAGGTAAAGGCAAAACCCATTTCTGTTTATTGATTTATCTCGTCGATTCGAAGGCGCATTGGAAAATTTATTGGATTTTTGAAGAAGTTTCATGGATACAAATTGGTTTCCATCAAATCGTCGCATTAAAATCAAAGGGGCGTAAGTGCCAAAAAACCCATTTTAAAAGTGAAAGGGGCGTATGTTCCGAATTCCTGTTTTTTCGGTTTTTCATGGAATTTCTGACCAAAAATCGGAAAAAAAAATTCTAGGAAAAAGGCGTAATTGCTATATTTCAACGGGAAAGGGGCGTATCTCCACACTTACGCCTGTTTCATTTCATTCAAAAAATGACACTTACGCCCTTTTTACATTATGTGTTGTGCACTTCGGATGACACATTTCATGTTGAAATAAAACGAAAAGGGCGTAAGTCCCACATACGCCTCTCTCTCATTATATCTTAGGTCTACTCGCGATAATGAGTTTTATATTGTTATATCAACATAAAACGCTTTAACTATTTTCTTCTTCCTTTATGGTCTCATTTTCTTCCGAAGTGTTCAAAGCAGTCACGACTCGAAATTTCATACAGATAATTTCCTGAAATTCGCAGTCATAATTTAAAAAAATGAAATAAATTAATGAATGAAATCGAATAAATTTAGAAGAAAATTTTAGAAAATTTTAGTTTAGTTACTGATATTTCTCATGAAATTGTTTCATTCAAGCAAAAAATCAAAGGGAAATAATTTGAACATTCATGATGAGAGGGAGGGAGGGGAGGTTAATGTAGAATCAAATATTATTTATTATTAGGGCTGTAGTGCATGTGATTCCGTTTATACTTGATGAATCAATAGGAACGAACAGTAACAAATGAAGGGACATATATATTGGAGTTACGCCCCTCTGTGATTATTGCTTCAAAAACAAAGGGACGTATGTGCCTGAGTTACGCCCCTTTGGAATTATTCATTCTCAATATGAGCTAGAAAAGAAACAAAAAGTATAAAAAGAAAGAGGCGTATGTGCTGGAGATACGCCCCTTCAGTACTTGCTAGTCGGACTTACGTCCATTTGCCACTTCAGAAATTTGTTCACAAAAAACCTTTCATAAGTTGAGAAACCTCCATTTCGAAGGGAAAAAAAACATACGCCCCTTTGGTATTAAGAGAAAAAAATCTCAGAGAAATGGCACTTACGCCCCTTTGATTTTAATGCGACGAAATGATGAAATTGAAACACTCGAATTGGCTATTTTCATTAATTCAGTGGTGGTAAGTAGGTAGATTTCACTGGAATATCGCAAAATTTGATGAATACCGAAGGCATTTATCGCGCACAGCGAAATAGAAAGGCCTTCTTAAAATTACGCTATCCATTTTTTTAATTCAAAAATATCTTTCAAAATCATATTCCAGAAGTCACTTGATTCATTCCGTTTTGTCTCCTCGCTATTGAACTGTCCTCAATCCAGAAAAAGGACTAGTTCAAAAAGACTATAATTCTAATAAAAATTCCAATATTTTTGTAGAATTATTACTTAACGTATTGAAATTTCTACTAGAATTATATTATTTTTTATTAGATTTTTGTTAAAAAATGCTGTGAGATCAGTCAGCGACACAATTATGAGAACTTCAGGGTAGATTTTCATAGGAATTTGTCACTGTGTAGATAAAATATCACAATCTACTCTTCACAATTCGTCAAATTCTTAAAACCCAGTGTACTCCCACCCTACGTAATTCGATTAATTAGAATCAATACAGTTATGATCCTACATACATTGAGATTTTTTTCACTTTTTTTTTGTCAAATATGGAAGAGGAAAAGGCAAAAGTCATTTCTGTTTATTGATTTATCTCGCGGATTCGAAGGCGCTGTATTGGAAAACTTATTGAATTTTCGAAGAAATAATTCGTGCTGAATTATTCTGAATTATGTGGAGATAATTTTCCATCAAGGACGGTCTTTGGTGTCTTCTAACATCAGTTATCGGCGAGGTAATTCTATAATTGCATAGTAGTGGTGACGATTAATTTAAGCCGTTTTACTACCCCCCACCCCATCGGACTAATCCATTCAGTTGGAGAAGGAGAGTCTTGTCGAGTGTATTAATTATTTCGGGCCTCAAGAGCAGTTAATTATTACAATTGAATTCACAGCCCATCCATTTTAAATAAATCATCTATTCGCAGTCAAATGGATATGAATAAACAATTTATGCAATGAAATTCATTCATTGCATTCAACTCATTGGATTAATTTGTTATTTCACTTGAAGAAATGCCTCTTCAAATTAAGAATAATTCGCTATTAGATTCCAGTTCCGCCATTTGGTGGAGATGGTCATTTCGAGAGAACTCAATATTTCCAATGAGTGACTCTATTTTTTATTCTCTAGAAACAACCTATTCATATCGCGATTAATTACTCCGTAAATCGAATATTCATTTCAACTGGATTGTTCATTAACATAAGATTGGAGATTATCCAAACAGATTGCATTTGTCACAATAGGAGTACGTGATTGATTGATGCTCAGTAAACAATTCATCAACACCGGAGAACTCCTCGGCGAAAACCGAATAAATAGCATCATTTTCGTTGAGAGAAGCCATTGTCTATTGGATTATTCAAAACAATTCCCCGCATTAAGGTCCGGGTGCATTATCCCCCGAATGTTTTCTCCATTATTTTTCCATCGATACAATGTGAAATATTTCCCATCTGTGATTTTTATTTCCTATCACAGATGAGTTTTGAAAAAATATGATTGTGCAATAAAAAGCAGTAGAAACAAGTAGGGGTTGGAGCCTATCCGACAGAAGGCATGTGACCGTTAGTTGTTGCGTTATTAGTTTTTTTCATTTTTTTGCTTCGGAATGGAAGCTTTGTGTTTTTATTTCAACCACTTCCATTGGTAGTAAGCTTTGGAATGGATCCGTAGCAATTCCCTATATTTGCGCCAGGCTTATAACCGTAACCACCCGCAACAGGGTGTCTGCAGGAAGATATCCAACCTTTTAATGGAATAGAGTTATCCAAAAGGTTAAATATCGCCGAAACTGCTGGGCTGATTGTACCTATCCAAAATACGAACTTTCAATATTGTAAGAGCAATAATAACACCAAATTTCAACTTGCTATCTTAATGATTTCTCAAGTTATCGTGCGTACAAGAATGAATGCAATATTTAGAAAATTTGGTGTGAATGGGTGCAGATATATTGATTGATCTAGGCAGAAGCCATCGAGACGAGTATTTTGAAAAAAGAAAACATCAAATTCGTTAAGTAATTTGTGAAATACCTAACGAAATATATTTACACAAAAGGTTGCGTATCTCAGAAATGGCTTGGTCGATTGCGCCCGTCCAAAATACCAACCTTTAGTATTACAAGAGCTAGCATCATACCAAATTTTAACTTGCTATTTCCATTTTTTCTCATGTTATCGTGCGTACAAGATTTTTCATGAAAAAACAGACAAACTGGAACATCCCCAAACTTTGGATTAACGGGTATATGTGTTTCGATTGACCTAGATAGGGGCCATCGAAGCGAGTATTTTGAAGAAAGGAAAATTGAAATCGGTACAGTGCTTTCGGAGATATTGAAGAAGAAAAATTTAAACCAGTTGTTATATCTCCGGAACTACAGGAGAAGTTGAGTTGAGCTCAATCATAGATACAATGAGCCAAAATTTCAGATTTTTATCTGGAAATTTCTCCGTATTTATGGAGAATGTTCTAAAAATTAATGACCAAAAACCCAAGTTGTCACATACATACACACAGACATGACCCTAAAAACATCATTTCTTCACGTTTCATAACATTCTAGATCATTTGCAATCAAAATTAGAAAACCGAAAAATGGGTAAAAAACAAGGCTTTCATTCGGATGCAAAAATGAAGATAGCAAGTTGAAATTTGGTATGATTATAGCTCTTGTAATACCGAAGGCTGGTATTTTGGATGTGCGCAATCGGCCGAGCGATTTCGGAGATATTTAACCTTTTGTATAAAACGATTTCATTAAAAGGTTGAATATGTTCCTGTCGACACCCTGTAGCATGTGGTTACGGTTGTATGCCTATCACAAGGATAGGGAATTCCTACGTATCTATTTGGAAGTTTACTTCCAATAAAATCAGTAGAAACGAAAAAAAGGAAACTAATAACGTAAAACGTAACGGTCACACGCCTTCTGTCGGATAGACTCGAACCCCTGCTTGGTTCATCAAGATCACGTTCGAAAGATAATACAGCCGGGTTTTAAGCATAATTTGTTACTTGATTTTCATTATCAAGTGATGAAACTTTTGCCATTGAATGAAAAGTGGGTTCACTCCGGAAGCAATTCCATTACAAACAGAGAAATTATGAATGCATGAAAGTTTACTCATATAGTAAACAAATATTTCGTTGGTAGAGTAAACACCGAAAATAGTTCAAAGATTATGAACACAGGGAATAATTTTGAAAGACCTGCCGTTTTAAGACTCAACGCGTGAGATAATTCTAAAATTGGATAATTTTATCGGGGATTTCAGTGACAATAATCCTGAAAATTAGAATTTAATTTAATTCTAAATATTTCTGGTTTCCAGGAGTATTCATATGAACATTTGAATAATTCTTAGCTAAGATTTAACAATACTTCGTTTCATTTGAAGGAATTATTTTATTTGAAATTAAGGGCCTGTGATTTCTAAAACTAAAACTGAAACTAAAAACTAAAAGGTTGTTCTCTGTGCATATATAAATTGGTTTGCATACAAAAAAGGATAAAAAGAGAATTCGTCAAATTATTAACGAATCACTTGATTAATTTCTCCAAACCTGTCCATATCGGACAAATTTGTAAAATAAGCTTCAAATTTACTTTAGCCGTGACCCTCATTTTCTACCTTTTCCCTACTAAATTCTTTCGAGGGTACACTGATAGACTGATTCATTTATTCTAAACGAGATTCGTTAAATATTAACGAATGGTAGAGTTGAATACGACCAAATGAATATTCGTTAATAGTGAACGAATGGTTCACTTGAAAAGTGAAAATCGAGTCAAACAAGGCTCCTCAAATATGCATTTGTTAACTATTAACGAATGAACATTTGGTGAGACCAAATAGACCCTCGACTCCAATTAAATCCATTCGCTAACAATAACTAATCCTTTTCATCGGTGTAATGCTCTTAGAGACCCTCAGTTGTAGCAAATGAAGGGATTCTCAAAATACATTATCAGATTTCATAATCAAGATGTGAATACATGCATGGACATATCACATTGTCCCCGTGGAAGAAAATGAACATTTAACATTGTAAGAAATTCTTCGAAAATTTGGTAACAAACATCCCGTTTTTCAACATTGTGACTTTCAATTGATTTTCCGATCGAATGATTCGCGAAATATTTATTTGTTTTGAAAATGAAAAATGAGACGATGTTTTTTATTTCCAACAAATACGAAAGTTTGAATAAAACAAAACTATTAGAATGGATTGGAGCAAATAAATCCACGCCAAAATTAAACTTCCCATCGAATCGATTTTTTAGTAAATTGCTAATTCGAGGCAATAGCCGTCTGGATTTTCATAATCTCAAATATTTTCATCTCAAATATAATAAATATGTTGCCCAGATTCTTCTTTGGCCGCGATTCCCGCAAAACCAATGAATGGATTTCAATTGTATTTTTACTATTATATTGTTTAGGGTCCCCAATCGGCTTTAGGCTACAAGTTATTGTCCTACGATGCATGCTAAATTATGCACGTTTTGGTTTCTTGTGCGTAGAAACTTCTAGAACATTCTAGAGCTTTCTGGAAAATTCTGGAGAATTCTGGAACATTCTCGAGTTTTCAAGAATATTTTTGAGGTTTCTACAAAGTTTGACAATATTCTCGGGTTTTATAGAAAGTTTGAGAAAATCTTTTGGTTTTACAAAAAATTTCAGGAAGTTCTCAGTTTTTCTAAACAATTCGAAGAAATTCTCCGGTTTTCGAAAAAAGTTTCAGTCTTAACCCTAGTCTGGTCATCAAACGCGCTCCTGCGACTTGGTCGCCTCCGCGGGGATTCCCCGCCGTGTTATTTAGACTAGCGTTGCCGAATCCACTCTTCACTACCCGGGCGCATTTAGCGAGTTTCTGGCAACATCGCGTCACAGGCAGTTTTATTTAACAGGGAGAAAAATAATTCATCTGTCCGAAATAATTTGTTTTCTTTCACAATTTTGGGAAATTTGTTTTTAAGAAACTTCAGTTGACAAAGTCAAATTTTTTTTAATTTTTTCGGTAAGCCAGTCAATTGTAATTAAAGAAAAACGACGCGCGGCGGGATTTCCCTCATAGGGTGACCAATCTAGGGTTAAAAAAATTCGAGAAAATTCATCGGTTTCACAGAGAATTTGAAAGTTCTCAAAAGTTCAAGCGAATTTTCAGGTTTTCTCGAAAAATACAGGAAATTTTCCGGTTTTCTAAAAAATGTTTTCTTGTTCGCATCATTATTATTCAACCACTTATGAATAACTAGCTGTTATTTGGAAACTAGCTATGTGGGCAGAATAAAAAAAAATTGAATACCTGAATTTTTTAAAATTTTAGCAATTAAAAAAAACCACCTCAATGTTTCTAGAACAGCCTCAAATTTTCTCAATTGCTTTGTGAACCCCTCAAATTTTCTTGATTATTCCGGTGTTCTAAAAAAAGTCAGAAACATCGAGATGTTTTTTTAATTGCAGGAATTCTCGAAAATCCTGGTATTAAATTTTCCCTTATTCTGTCCGGGCGAACCCGGCCGCACAGCCAGTCACTAGATAAAATTGACTACCTAATCCGTTTCAGACCAAATCACCTAAATTATTCGTTGCTGAATATTCCAAAAATTATTCCATGAAATTTTAGGAGAAATTTTCTATTAGTGTAACAAAGAAATAATAATTAATGTTGGATCAATACCTGAGAGGGCACACAGGTGAATCCTTGAGACCGTGGAAAATAATAAACCGTAACAGCGTCAAACTGTATATTACGTTTTTTCCTAGCTGGCTCACTGTTGTTACGTTTGGCATTCGGCTCACCCTCCATGCAGTCGCTCAATCGTCGCTTCAGGCTACTCTTTTGTGGCGTTGGGAAACTAGGCAGTGTCACTGCATTGGTACTGCCGCTAGGTGACCCGTAGTCATCCAGTGTATTCACCACTTTAATCAAATACGTGATAATCATTAATATCAGCTGTTATTTCTGCGCTCCTGAATTGATAAATTCATCGCTGGAAGATGAATTTACTCAAGTTCTGGGCGTTTTTTTTACGGGAGGCAGGAAGGGTTATACATAAACTAGTGGCGGTGAATATCAAACTTTGGTCATTAAAGTTTTTCTCGGTTTTTAGACTCCATGCGAAATTATTGATTTTCAGGAGAGAGGAGTGGCATATTACCGTGACGGGTTTCATACGGTTTTGGAAATAATCCGGGAGTGGAAGATTTTTAATTTACAGAGCAAAATGTTTCTAGTTTCCACAATCGAGTTACTGATTTTTTCATGATTCTAAAATGCGTTGTACTAAGAGAAAGAAATTGGTTCGTCGATTTCAGATGGAAGTACTCACGATTAATTATCGAAAACCTAATTATTTCCACTGAGGAAGGTTTTAACAACGAGAACCATTGGTTTTTTAAATTATTAGGAACTTAGTTATGAAACCAAAAACATTTGAAAGGGATAAAAGTCTGCATATATTGAACATGAATTTAAGATTAATTGAGCTCAAGTGGCATGTGAACTACTTTAAATGATGAAACATTTATAAACATCAGTCAATTAATTTTTGAGCAGGAAAAATGATCATTTCAGAAACGAGTATGTTTTTAATTTCAAAACTCAGATGTCCTTGATTCAAAAACTCCAAGATTTTTATTTTATGAACCCAACAGTTCTGAGTTTCAGAACCCAGATTTTCTTAAAACAAGAGCATATGTGCTTTCATTCAAGTACAATTATGCTAAATTCAAGTGAAAATGACTGAGAGTTAGGATTTCTTTCTCTTTTTTAGAGAAAAATTTCTACAAAAAAGTGAAATTTTCACTTATTTCAAGGATTTCTTCATCACTGGTTTTCATTAAGACAGATTTCTGACATTTGTTAATCTTGAATGGTTTTTTAATTAGAAAATTAATTGTTCACCCTTATTACGTATTTCTTAGTGGGAAAAGCCCGTAGTAGATTGGAAACTCGTTCATTTTGAGAAAAGTAATAGAGTAAATTGGAAATTGAAGATTTCAATCTCCGAAGTATACTTGTCTCAATTTCACTGATCACTTTGGCGGATGGTGAAGTAATTTCATAAGGAATTTACGAGAGACTAAAAATTCCACGGGAATTGATTCTAGAAATAGAAATTGTCATTACAATTCTCCCTCCGTAGAAAATAAACCCTAAGAAATTGAGAATTCGAAATTTTTTTAATTTTAAACCTCGAAGTCATTTGTTTCGTAAAAAAATGTTTTGCCTACAGAAAAATTTAAACTCGTGTAATTACAATAACTAGGAAATTTCAGTAGGCTTTAATTGACTGGAGTTAAAATGATCACTCTCCAGACATTGCCGCAGGAAATTTGAGAGCGGAAATCCGTAATGTCATGTGATGTCAATGTCAATATTAATCTAACAAGAAAATCCGGAATCAGTGAAAAATACAATTAAAAAAAAAAATACAATAACTTGACTGGATGAAGGCCCTGGGGCGATAGCCAGTTGCAAGTTCTCGGACTTGCAACGAATTCCGTTGAAAATAAAATAAATACAATAACTTTATATTTTCAAAAGATGTCTTTTCAAACCAAAAGTGAGTCGAATTTCAAGTTTACTGTGATTTTCAAGTGTAAGTTCTGAAAAATGCATCTTATATTTCTGAAAAATAGGCAAGAAAACATTGGAAAAGATCCAGGAATTGAACAATTACCCATTTTATCATTTTACTCAAGAAAATTGGCCCCGAAAATTTTAGAACAGTGATTATCGCCGATGTTGGTTCTCAGTATATTATTTTATGAGTGACACTGGCCAATTCTCAATTCAATTTTTTAAACACGATGAAAATTAAAAAAAATGTAGAATTGAGAGACGACACACTCCTGAACAAGTGGATAATTGCATTTTTTTATAAATAAGTATAATTATTGTTGCTAATAAATTAGGAATTTGCTTCCAAATAGGTTCTCTTCTTCTATTTTTTCATGTCATAGTACTATCATCAATTGAATGTCATCAAAATTTTGCGTATTATGTCGTTCTGTCAAATAATTCTACATTCAGACCCTCTCAATACTCAAATTCGTTCTCAGCCCGGGTTTAATCAAGGTTCAATTAAGGTTTGATCGGTCTATAGCCGGGATGTAATCAGGGTTTATTCAGAATGTAGCCAGAGTTTAACGCAGGTCCTATCGAAAGTTAGTCGAGATCATGAATCAGTATGAGTAAGTATTCAACATAATAAACTGATACCTGAATAATAGAGATAGCGATTTTATATAAAAAGCTCATGACGGTATTCTGTAGCTTGATAAGCAATGATGCTTTTCTCACCATTTTTCAACTTGATTAACAAGACAATGAAAGATACTTTTCCAGCCTTGATTTAATTACTATTGTTGATGATTCTTCCAATAATGATGAAAAAACAGATTTTCTCTTTCAAATTGCGTAAACAATGTGCTATAACTTAACAACGAATTATGCGACCCTCCTCATATTCTGATAGAATTAAGAGAGTATTATTATCAATTTTTTGAGCCATGACTAATTCCATTTTGATGACAATTTTTCAAGTGATCAAGTGGGCTTGGCCAAGAAACAATTTTTATAAATTCAATTATTGAAAATTTTTTCTTATTTTTCTGAGCGCCCATCTGAGTCTATCCTACACGAATTTATCAGTATCCATATTGCCCAATGAACCAATTTTTTAAAATTTGAATTTTGAAAAAAAAAATTCGCAAATTTTTTGAGTGTCCATTTTATCCTAGATGTCCATATTGCCCCACCCTCCCCTACATACACACAGACACATCTAAAAATCGCGTATTCGGACATTTTAGACCACATTTAGTTACCCTAACACAAAAAACTGCAAACTTAAATTCCAGCGATTACAAAGCTTCCATTCGAGCGCAAAAAATGAAAAATCTGTGGTTCCCTTATCTTCCACTGAAAAATTAATCCAAACCAAAAACTCAAATCACCCCCAGTCCAATCCCTGGCAAAACTCCCCCAAACCCCATAATTAAATCCCAAATCGTCCCTCACCTTTCTCCTTATCCGACAGAATATCTAAAAATCGCGGATTCAGACATTTTAGACCACATTTAGTTACCCTAACACAAAAAACTGCAAACTTAAATTCCAGCGATTACAAAGCTTCCATTCGAGCGCAAAAAATGAAAAATCTGTGGTTCCCTTAGCTTCCACTGAAAAATTAATCCAAACCAAAAACTCAAATCACCCGNTATTATCAATTTTTTGAGCCATGACTAATTCCATTTTGATGACAATTTTTCAAGTGATCAAGTGGGCTTGGCCAAGAAACAATTTTTATAAATTCAATTATTGAAAATTTTTTCTTATTTTTCTGAGCGCCCATCTGAGTCTATCCTACACGAATTTATCAGTATCCATATTGCCCAATGAACCAATTTTTTAAAATTTGAATTTTGAAAAAAAAAATTCGCAAATTTTTTGAGTGTCCATTTTATCCTAGATGTCCATATTGCCCCACCCTCCCCTACATACACACAGACACATCTAAAAATCGCGTATGCGGACATTTTAGACCACATTTAGTTACCCTAACACAAAAAACTGCAAACTTAAATTCCAGCGATTACAAAGCTTCCATTCAAGTGCAAAAAATGAAAAATCTGTGGTTCCCTTATCTTCCACTGAAAAATTAATCCAAACCAAAAACTCAAATCACCCCCAGTCCAATCCCTGGCAAAACTCCCCCAAACCCCATAATTAAATCCCAAATCGTCCCTCACCTTTCTCCTTATCCGACAGAATATCTAAAAATCGCGGATTCAGACATTTTAGACCACATTTAGTTACCCTAACACAAAAAACTGCAAACTTAAATTCCAGCGATTACAAAGCTTCCATTCGAGCGCAAAAAATGAAAAATCTGTGGTTCCCTTAGCTTCCACTGAAAAATTAATCCAAACCAAAAACTCAAATCACCCGAGTCCAATCCCTGGCAAAACTCCCCAAACCCCATAATTAAATCCCAAATCGTCCCTCACCTTTCTCCTTATCCGACAGAATATCTAAAAATCGCGAATTCAGACATTTTAGACCACATTTAGTTACCCTAACCCAAAAAACTGCAAACTTAAATTCCAGCGATTACAAAGCTTCCATTCGAGCGCAAAAAATGAAAAATCTGTGGTTCCCTTATCTTCCACTGAAAAATTAATCCAAACCAAAAACTCAAATCACCCGAGTCCAATCCCTGGCAAAACTCCCCAAACCCCATAATTAAATCCCAAATCGTCCCTCACCTTTCTCCTTATCCGATAGAATATCATCAGGTATTCTATCCAGAAAGCTCGTCTCTGAATCGCTCTCAGGTGCCGGCGTAGGTCCCGGATCCCCCGGAATTTCTCCCCCAAGCCCGGAGTCGCTGCCATCCGACCTGACTTCATCCCTGGCCCCCGTGGCCAATGCCAGGCTCTCAGCCGAGTCCTCCGTAAAGGCCTCAGGTTCCCCAGCCCCAAGCCTCGCCATCACTTCCGGATTCACCTCATCACAAACAATAGCATCTCCCCCGCACCTGACAGTCTCGTTAACAGTCATGCCAATGAGTTCCGAGCTATCAGACCCAGTTTCAGTCTCAGTCTCAGTATCATGCTGCTCCTGAACATCTCCAATCTCCCTCCCCACATCCCCCAAACAGTCAGAAGATTCACTAATCTTGCTGGCCTCCAGCACATCATCCTCCTCCTCAAACTCCACCTCAAGCTTCCTCGCAATTCTCACTTCACCCTGCTCTACCGGCTTCTCCCCCAGTCCATTAACCCTCTCAATCATCACCATCGGACTCTTCCTCATCAACTGATCATTCTCCAAGTACTTGGGCGACAAACTAAATCCCTCGGCATCCTCGACACTCCTCAGATCACTCACACACGTGTGTTCCACCCCCAACTCATTCCCCTCCCTCATCTTCAGCTTCAAGCCCTCCGGAGTCTTATCAATGCGCTCCAACACGATCATCAAACCCTTCGGCGTACTCATCCTCTCCTTATCACTGACTCTACCCTCCCCCTCCCCCACCGCCAAACCCCCACCTGTCCCATCAGTTTCATTCGTCTTATCATCATTATCACTCACAACACTCTCAACATTATCCACTAAACAACTCTGTGATGCTTCCTGATCATTATGCTCGTGCTTATCATCGTCAAATAGTCCAGAATCTGATGTCAACGATATCTCACCGAGAGTTCGTTCGTGAGTACTCACTAGCACTGGTGATAATCGTCTGATATCATTTTTCAATTGTTTAGCCTCCTCCTCCGAAATCTCCACTCCAATCTTCTTCATCTCCGCATTTATCGGCGCAAAATCACGCGGCCTCTCCTTAGGTGATGAAGCACTGTAAGAGCACAGTCTATCACCAAGGGAATTCACATCTGTCACGATAACTCCGGTATTAACGGGGCTCTTATTTTTGGAAATGCTGGAGATTTCGTAATCGTCAATTGTTGGGACCATTGCACCATTGCGGGACAATTGTTGTGATGTACATTCCTGGTGTGAATCATCGTGATGATTGTTTGCATTGAAGTGGGTGGCGGATGTCACGGGGGCTTCAACAAACGCCTCATCGTTACTTGTTGGTTGATCCACTGAGCTGGAATCCTCTTGGGCCTCAACGAGGGGAGGTATGTCCTGGGCCAAAGCCGATTCCATCTCGTGCCTTTATCTGATCTATTTTTTCGAACAGAAAATCAACAAAAAGAAAGCATGTTTATAAATTTTCATTAGCATAATTATTTTTATTAAACTAAGTGTTTCAATATATTGAGGAAATTTACATCTAGATTATTCGGCAAATGTGGAAGTGATGGGAAAAAGTCAGGATTTTTTTTGTGGCGAACGAAACCCCCGAAAAAAAAAATATATCGTATGATACTTTCTTCTGAATTCCTTTGTCGAGGAGATATGTACAGAATGATATGAAAGTCCACTTTCACTTATGAATAACAAAAGCTTCTGGGCTTCATTAATTAATGAAGGTTTATTCGTTCAATAATTTATTCGAAGGTATCATAAGCTGGGGGAAAACGTAGAGGATGAGGAAAGCGAAGGGATCAATAAGCCGTACGGTCTAGGCTGGTACCGCGCACCACTCCTGTGGAGAGTTGAAGTGTTTAGACCAGCGTGTGAGAGAAGCGAGAACGGATGACAATTAATAGTATTTGTGCTTCATCGGAATTCAGTGCTTCGAATGGCATAAAAGTTAATCATAAGCTCGATTAATCCAATTGAATGAGCCCAAAGATTAATCAATAAATAATAATGATTAATGGAATTAACAGAAAAGTGGAGAGACGACTGGACATTTACCTTTCTCCAATTAAGTCCCTGAACCCCACCCTCTTGCCCCCTTAACACGCAAATATGTGATTAAACCACTCGCAAGTCCATTGAAAATCATCCTTGATTAATCGATCAAATGAATTACTTAATTTAGCAGATAATTAATCAGTCGAAATGAGGCTTTTAAGAGTCAAATATCGGGAGTTTATCTCAATTGTTTTCTTTGGGTTTAATGAGATGAAGGAGTGGGATTACTAGTCCGTGAGTAAAGAATTTTCGCTTGTGGTAGAAATAAAAACAGTTGTATTTTCTCTCAGTGACAGAGTCTCAGGGAGTGATAAGCACCCGTCCACCCGGTTCACCGGTTCGCGTCGGAGTGAGCGCTCGAGTTTTCACAGTGCCTTTGGCTAGCGTACAGCACAGGCAGAGAATAGCGTCATACATCCCCACCACTTTCCCCTGTCGTCCCCGCTACCTCACCTACATGGTACTGGTTTCCCTACCCCCACGTCGTCATCGCCGCGCTAACCCGGGTCAGCCGTTCTCCGCGCGTTGGCTCTCTCTCTGGTACACCGACGCCTCAGAGTTGTACTCCCAGACGCCGCGCGCAGTTCACCGTTTTTTGACTGACATTTCTCGATCGACATGAAACATACTCCAAAAATATCGTCAAAAAAAATCAGCAAAATCAGCGACAAATGATGACAATTTCTCTAATTCATGTTCTTCGGGGCTTTCGATTATTCTTCTGCTGGAAATCTTCAGCGAGTTGTAAAGAAACGAATTTATATTCAATCAATTGAGTTGAGGTTGAGAAGACAATGAATTGAGACTTGTGGAGAGCAGAAATTAGAGAGACTCAACCAAAAATTAACCCCTCACGGATCGGGGCCCTTTTGTTTCCAAGCGTGGAGTACGTTCAATACAACTAGAATCTAATGACTTCTAATCAACAGAAAATCATGAAACCGATATGTAATTGTAGCTACAGTACTTCTTTTTTCGTTGTTATTTGAGTTAAATTCCATAGTTTTGGAAATAATCAATTTCAAAGAGAGTCATTGCTATTTTCATGGGTCGATGTTTTCATGGCATTGACCGCGTACATGAGGGGTTAATAATGAAAATTAATAATTTCTACAGCGATGTTTTCAATAACCCTGATTTTATTCAGATATTAATAAAAAAAATCGTCTGCACTTGTATCGCTGTACACATTCGCTAGAGGAGTATTGACAGTTCAATGTTCAATCGAATGAATCCTAAATGACTGACGCATCAGTGATAGATCGCCCCAAGTCTTTTCGGCTGATAGTGAGAATCCCTCTCTCTCCGGTTCCCAACGCCTCAGTCAACCGAAATAATCAACGCCGCGCGCACTCCATCCTGTTTCCATCCATTCTAAAATCGCCAAAATTGTAAAAAAAACCCTCCAAAAAACAAAACCAAACGAAACGAAGAGAAAAAGTGTCAAGTCCCTCTAACTCCTACAATTCGGGGCTGTGAGTTACTTTCCCCTCACCTTCTCAGCAGAAAAAACAAACTCAAATCCCCGAGTCTCTCTAACTCATTCACAACCTGAATAACAGAGACCTGAACTCAAATGATCCCCATTGAATCCAAATGAACTCGAAATAATTGATGAACCAAATCGCGGATCAGATCCGAGTCTTTTGGGCTGGCGAGAGTGAACCCAACGCCGAGGGGATGAGGAGAACTCGGATTTTACGAGTGAGGCAGACGGCGTCGGGTCGACGATATTGCCTTCGTGCTTTTCCGCTTTCCAGTGTCGGACTATTCGGGCTCGTACGATGAAAAAGGTACGAGATACCTCTGCCTGTCTCCCTTCCACGCGCAGCGATAGTTTCTAACCCGAGAGAGTCTCGTCTGCGCTGGTTCACGTATAGATATATCCTCTCCCTCCCCTCCGCCCCCTCGCCTGCTGGATCTATGTGACTGTACATAGTACATAGGTAGACTGTATATAAACGTTTATGTACATTGAAGTACCTAGCGCCGACCTACGGTTATACCGCGCGCCATAGTTGATGCTCTCCATCGTACGTCGAGGCCCCCCTGTTCCAATATATATGTACCTATGTATATACACAGCACCAGGTATATACAACAAATGTATGTGTGGAAAATGTAACCTCATGCATAGTGGCCTCCGTACATAAACCTCTAGAGCGAGCGAGAGAGAACGAGTGCAGTGAGGGAGAGCGAGGGAAATAACGAGTGGGGGAGAGAGATGGCAAGAGGAAGATGGTGAATATTACCGTGTTTCCACTACACTTGTATTAGTGTATTTGTGAAAACTCGATGCATCTGTGAGTGGTAGACCTCTGCCAAAGGCATAACGATGGAGAACAAAAAAGAATGGGAAAAAAAAAAGGGGGAGGTATATAAGTGGTCATGGTTTGTCTTTACACTGTGGAATTTCACTGACATTCTTCGAGGTGAATTCACATTCGTTAAATATTTGTAAACATTGGATCAATGATTGTTGCGCGAATTTGTAGCGTTCGCTATTTTATTGTTAATTATTCACTAATTAGTGGGGGTGAGTTGCCTGAGGATTTTGAAGACTGGTGGGTAGGGGGAGGAATTTTCGGAGGGGGTTGATGGGGGAAGTGAAGGAAGAGCGAAGATGAAGGTGAGGAGCAAGGGAAGGGGTATATTGGGGCTTGTAAACGAGGTTGAAGCGGAGAGGGGAGGTCGCAGGGGGAGGGGAGAGGGGGGGAGTGCTTCCACCTCCGGTACCGAATCGATCCTACCGCAGTGGTAGCTCTATATACACTGGCCCACGTGCATACCGTGAAGAGGAACTTCATGGCTGTATGGTTGAACTATATATTGGGGTCTTTTGCCTCGATATCTTGATATCTTTTTGGTTAACGTCAACAGATCGTGGGGTGGAAGAGGGGTGGGAGGGGTTTATGATGTTGAGAGAAGGTTTTGGGGAAATATTGAGAGAGAAGAAATTGTTCGGAAATGGGAGATGAGTAATTTTACTCGAGTACATAGATTATTGTTTTTGTGAATGGAAAAGGGGATATTGTTGGCGGTTGACATAAGACCTGTTCTTAGCTGGCGATATACTGAGAAACAAGACGAGTATTTTGACGGGAAAATATAGTGAATGGGATTTTTTTAAACTAATTTTGGCTGATTTTCAACTGAGGTGAATGTCATCATCGTCGTTATTTTTATTATTCCTTTCTTCTGTACAACCGATTGTCTTTTTTACGGTTTTGTCTCTCACCTCAGCCCTTCGATAAAATCAGTAGCGAAGCGGTAAAAAGGGCCAAGTCGGTTTTCACTATTGACCGGTTTTTGATATATATCTCAGAGTCTAAAAGAGATAGAAAAATTTTTGTCATGAGATTTTTTGTAGAGGCAATTGAGGGCTATAAAAAAGGTTATGAGAAAAACTTCACTATGTCTCTTAGATTCCGAGATATTCATCAAAAATTGGCCAAAAGTCAAAATCGACTTAACCCAGTTTACCGCTTCGCTAGTGAAATGTTAATAGAAAAAATTTATTTAGACATGCTTGAATGCATTGGAAATATCACATTTGAAGAAACCATCAGAAAGCTCACTTTCAGGGAAATTCATGAAAATTTGAAATTTTCAACAATCAAAAATCAAATCAACCAATATAGCTATCGCAATCATTTCTGAACTTCGCCTTAATGGCATTAAAACAAACATTTCAAGCTATTATGATTGAATTCATTTCAAGCATGATATTCAAAGATATCCCCGGAATTCTGATTTTCAAAAAATATCAAAGTTTTGCAAATTTTCAAGGAATTCATGGCTCGAAAATTGACAAGAAGAAAATATGTTACAGTGCGACAGAAAAAACTTTCGTCAAGAGGATTTATCCTTATCTCAAAGACGAGAATAATTTGTGAATGAATGACCAGAAAGTGATTTCTCAAACCAATTCTAGTTGAAGCAATTTATTGAATAGTTTTCAAATATTTTACTTTTCTCAATTTTCGTGCTTCTTGATACAAGTAAAAAAATACTGCTCAAAAGAACTTTTCTTCTCACTGTACTAAAAATTTTGATGTCAATCAATCATATGTTGTAAAACTAACAAATTAAAAATTCAGTTTTCATTTGAAAAAATAATACCGAAATATTTCACCTGTTGTAATTGTATTATTCGCTCGTGAGATCTTGTTCAATGCAAGAAAATACGGTAAACGAGAGGAAAAATAGTGGAAATTGATGAATGAATTGTCCTCCTCTCATTGGAAAATTATTTTGAAATGTTGAAAATTTAATCGCCTAATCTCTCCAAGGATTATGACAATAACAAATCCATGCACTTGCCCCTTTCAACCCGCCAGCATAAAGGAGCATAACGGTAT